GATGGGTGCATATCGTCTTTCATGGGCGACCATTGGTACGGCTGACATAGTATACCGGTAAGTCTTCCCCCGTGTGGGTCTCCTTTGAGACGAGTACTGCACTTACCGAGACTTCAGACACGGCGATATAAAGGTACAATGTTTCCCCTGCCTTAGGCGCCGTCATCACGGTTGGGGCGGCCAAGAGTCGTTTCAATTCTTCGAACGCTACATTGCACTCAGCAGTCCATTGGAAACACACCGCCTTTTTGAGCGTCCGGAAAAAAGGAGCGGCCTTATCTGCGGACTGTGGGATGAAACACCCAAGGGCCGCCAACCTTCCTGCCAAGCCTTGCACCTCTTTGGGCGTCTTTGGGGGCGTCACTCTAAGGATAGTGTCCACCTGCTTTGGGTTGGCTTCGATGCCTCGCTTGGTGATCATGAATCCCAAGAATTTCCCCGCTTCGGCGCCGAACACACATTTGAGAGGGTTGAGGTGAAGCCTGTGCGCCCGCATAGCCTGGAACGTTTCCCGCAAGTCTCCCAGGTGATCCTCATGCCTACGACTTTTGACTATCAAGTCCTCCACATAGGCTTCCACATTACGCCCAATCTGTCCGCAGAAGACATTGTTGACCATTCTTTGATAGGTAGCGCCCGCATTCTTGAGTCCGAACTCTATGACCCGGTAACAAAAATTTTCGAAGGGCGTCATGAAAGCCGTTTTAAGTCGGTCTTCCTCTGCCAAGGGAATTTGATGGTACCCGGAGAAAATATCCACAAATCTTAGCATTTCATGATACGCCGTGGCATCCACCAGCTGGTCTATTCGGGGCATCGGGTAGGCATCTGTGGGGTATGCTCTGTTAAGGCTAGTATAATCAACGCACATTCTCCAATCTCCTGACGGCTTTGGCACAAAGACCACGTTCGATAACCAAGTAACATAAGCCGTTTCTTCGACCAAGTTGGCGCCCAAAAGCTTGTCCACTTTGACCCTAAGCGCCCCCTCCTTCTCTGGTGACAGGTTCCTACGCTTTTGTTTCACTGCGCCCCTGCCTTCTTCGACGGCCAACTTATGAACGGCCGTCTCCGGGGTGACCGCCCGGCATCTCCAGAGCACTCCATGCAAAAAGCTCCGCGAACTCTTTTAGAAGAGCGATGAGGCGTTCTTTCATTTCACTTGGCGCCTTTGCAGATATCCTTACTTGCCTTTCCGGACGCCCTTCATCCAACGCCACTAAAAGCTCATCATCGGCCGCTTCGGCTCGGGGTGCCTCAGCTTCCACCACGTTGACCCTTTCATCGGTGCATCTTCGTTTCCTCCCTGCTTCCTTTGCGTAACGCGGGGCGCCACGTCCCCGGGCTACGCCCAGTCGTTGCGGAGCGATGAACTTTAAGGTCTGATGACAAGTAGAGGCCACTCCGTTGAACAAGGCTAGAAGGGGTCTTCCCAGAATTGCGTTGTACGGCGATGAGTAGTCTACTATTCTGAAGTCAATGGCGCGCGTCACTCTTTGCTCCCCGTCGCCCAAGGTAACCGGCAGACACACTCGCCCAATCACCCTGGCGGGCGCCCTCGAAAAGCCGACCAGCACCGACTCCGATGGCTTGATCAGTTCTGGCGACAGTTGCATACGGCCTACCGTATCCTTGAACAACACGTCCATTGAACTCCCCGTGTCGACGAGCATCCTTCTCACTTTGCATCCCGCCACCACTCCTTGTATTTCTAAGGCATCCATGGACGGGAGCATGCATGCCTCCTCTGGCACCCTATTAAAACTGATATTGATCGCCTCCTCCACCTCGGCAGATGTCGCTCTCAGCCGGTGGTTTGCCTCTATCTTCTCCCCCAAGTCTATCGTTCCCGAAATGGCCTCAATGGTGAGGCGCACTCTCTCAGGCGCCTTTTCTTGGTCGAGGTCATAGGGCGGGGGGGGGGGGGGCAGTTCTTCCTTCGTTCTCTCTACGCCGGCCACGCACGCCCGATGCACCCTCTCTTCAGGTTTTTTGACGAAGTCGCTAAGCATTCCTCTATCTTCCAGACCTTGCAGCTCGGTCTTCAACTGATAGCAGTCGGCGGTGTGGTGCCCCATCTCCCGGTGAAAATCACAATATCGATCCAGGTTCCATTCATTGGGCTGTCCCCTTTTCCCTGACGTGCTGGAGTATGTTTTTCAGTGTGTCATTATACTCAGCGAAGGCTCCCGCTCCCCTGGGCGCTGGGCGCCCCACATCGGCTCTCTTTGGTGGTGGGTGATTCACGGGTGCATATCCTGGACCATTCGGGAGGTGCGGCCTCCTTGTCACTTCAACTTCTTCCCCCCTCGTTTTCCGCCTATCTGCCCTTCTGGCTACCAAGGTTTCCTCGAGCATTATCACCTTTTGTACCCGGTGATCCAAATCTTCCGTGGACACCACGTCCCTTTTTGCCAGCGCCCTACACAGTTCTTCGCTGGTGGTACATTCGTTCAAGCATACTCCCAACACCGACGGATGGGCGTCTTTCACTTCCAAGGCTACTGACAGCCACCTTTCATAAAATTCTCGCAGCGCCTCCCCATCTCTTTGTTTGACCTTGAACAAGGCGCATATGGTCAGGGAGCGGCACTTCCTGCTGGCGAACTTTGCCAAAAACATTGATGCAAACTGCTCGAAGCAGTCAATACGTCCCTCTTCGATTTGGTGGTACCAGTCGAGGACCACGCCCGCAAATGTCGATGGGAACACTTTGCACAAAGTAGCGTCCGTGCTGTTGTAAAGCTGCATCTTGGTGAAGTACCCATTCAGGTGATCATCTGGGTCCGCCGTTCCGTCGTAAGTGGGAAGTGGGGGAATGTTGGTCACTGTGGGCTCCACCAATATATTACGCGCCAGGGGCTGCCTCACGGGGCAGTGGCGTGGTAGGCGCCCCAAAAATGCCTTGACTCGCTCTCTGTCTCCACTACCCTTTCCCTCTTCTTCGAAATCGAGCTAGGCGTCATTCCTTCACCCCTCTTCAAGGCGTCAACCTCCCGCCGCAGCACCTCGATTGCCTCGTCCTGATCTTCGATGATCCTAAATAGCTCCTTTTTCGTGACCGAGGCGTCTTCCGATCTTTGAAACATGCCACCACTTTCTTCGCTGACGTCCTTCTCGGGCGTCAACTCTCTCATCTGCTCAGACTCCTCCTCTGTAATTTCCTCTCTCTCTTCGCTCATAGGCGCCTCCTCACTCATGATTCCTGGTTATATTCCCCTTCATGGCGCGCCAATTGTTTGTGCCACGACGCCCGACAATGCGTCCTCGTCCTCCGCGTCCAATTCCTTCCTACACATACGAGCTCAGAGGGGGGCGCCTAGGCCCGTTAGCCCTCCGACGATCAAGTTAGTGACTTAGAGAGGGAAATCCTTTTAGTAAGAGTTCTAGTGAGAGAGTCCAACCTGTGTAAATGCTACCAACTGCCCCTATTTATACTTACCGAGTTCGAGGTTGATCTCTTCCACGTCACTGTCCTCATTTAATGCCTTGTACCCTCTTTGTCAGATATCTCAACTGCCTTGTCAGGCTTCTGACGCGTTGACAGGCGCCTGCCTGAAACGTCCCGACTCTTTTTCAAAACCAAACCATAACTCGAACCGAAAACCGGTCACTCCGGAGCAACCCAAACCACATTTTAAAATAAGCAACTGACTTTATTTAATAATTTTAAACCAAAAAGCCCCAACACTTGGGCAAAATCTCAATCTCAAACACTTAAAACAACTTAACCCAGAATCTTGAACCTTGAATCTCCAGTACATATACTCATAACCATAAACAATATAATTAAACTAACTCTAGCTCTAACTCCTGGTTGAGTTCCTTGAGGTCTCGTCCATGTTGGTGCAGTGGCTCGCCTCACACTGCCTCTTCTCGGGATCCACCTTTGCTAACCCTTCCTCAACCTGGTGAGTGAGAAGGGGTCAGTCTCGTCGTTACTTCCTAAGGTCTTTGCCCTAGGCAAACTCCTTACTAAACACATTATTAGGGGAAATGCCTTCCTAGCATGAAAGCCGTTCTCGCTTTCTGCTCTTAAAATAATCATCCTTACTCAAACACGTTATTAGCTTTTCCTTCCTTTAGATGAAACCCGTTCTCGCTTTCATCCTTAATAACTCATTTCAACATTAACTCATAGAAGTTCTCAACTTCTATCCTTAACTCAAACACAAAACCCTAGGACCACCGCGTTACGTCTCGCCGTCCGGTGTCCTACCCTAGTATGCCAACCGCGTTACATCTCGCCGTCCGGTTGCATACCCATACTCGGCAATGGAACTGCGTTACGTCTCGCCGTCCAGTCCATGCCCGTCAACTACTGCGTTACGTCTCGCCGTCCAGTAGTGACCCGACCATCTACCGCGTCCAGTAGTGGCCCAACCGCCCGGGGGTTCCTCATACCATCAATCCATACAACATCACATACATCCATACATAGCACAACGCGTGCCTCCACCCTTATAGGCGGTGGGATGCCTCACACACATAATCGCGCTTATTTGAAAATTAAATAACAAATATAACTGAATTAAAAAGGCATAAACTAAAAGACCTACGACTGAGATATTACCCCCTTTACACTCACCGTGGCTTTCCAGCTGATTGACTTAAATCGAACTCTAGACTAATCGCTCGATGGTTAGACCATAGGTTTCCACCACTACTTGACATGTCCACGCTAGCTTTGCCTCTAATTAGAGCTCCCTTCTCGTCGACAATTCCTGGTGAATCAATTTAGAACACGCTTAGCTGCTGATGCATCAGCGTCATTCAAACTTCCCAACATCTATCTAATTGCAACACTTGGAATCTAAGCTAATGTGTCAAAGACATTCCAATTGCAATTAGTGGACACGTCCCTTCCATGCTTGAGAAATACGTGTAGCCATCTTACCCATCTAAATAGCCTTTATATATATATATATATATATGGACACATGTACATACAATTCACCACTCTCCACTCCTTTACGTTCATGCAGGATCTAATGCCATTAGAAATGACCATCAACTCCATTACTGAATTTGGAGAGCTAGGGAGACCCTTACCTTGTCGATCAATACTTCTTGCCACTCGACGTGGGTCCTCCCATCAAAAAGCCTTCGTGCCAGCCACACATAAACGCCTGAGCTATCCTTTAGTTCATGGTCGATCCTCATTCATGTCATCCTTTGCCTCAGCCGCCACGATCCCAACTCTCTTCCATTGTTATCATCGTTCCCCTGTCCAAGTCGCCAGCGCAACCCATAGCCAACTCCACCTGCTCTGTCATTTCACCATCATCGTCCTTGAGGATCGATTCAGCCCCAGTGCCATCACCACCACCGTCGCAACGCTGCTGTAGCTCCCAGCTTGTTCACCGTTATCGACCCACTGGTTGTTCTTGTGGTTGGGGCGGAGTATATGGTGGGAAGGAGAACAATCGCCGGTGGTTGTCGGGCCGGGAGGGGAAAGAGCTAGGTACCGTCGTTTGCCAAAAGCTCCGAGTGCTTTCTCTCATTGGCTGTGTCCGTTTGTTATGGTGGCGTAGCGATTGCGCGGGGGAAGGGATCAAATGGTTGCTTGATTTTCGTGTCTTGCCCCGGCGCTATGCCTATGAGGAGGAGGATGAGCCGAGTTCCTCCTTAATTCCTAACGTAAGGGCAAATACGTTTTCCCCACCTCATAATCACCCACCTAATTACGTTGAGTTAACTCCACTTAACTCCTTGGTCCGTTGTTTATTAACTCCTCTCGTCAAAATCCATTCATCATCCACGAGAGGAGAAAGGAATACGAATCACACCTTACTTCAATGGGCTACACCATTTCTTTTCCTTTATTCCACAACGTGGGCCACTCTATAAATCTTCCAAGTAATAAAAACATGATTTGGGCCTAAATGAGTAATTAGGCCTTAGTTTAACCGATTTGATTTTATTTGGAATTTTTCATACGTAACCGTCCACTCAACCGTTCATTTGCTATAGTCAAACCTGAACAAAAAGTTGGGGTGTTACATTTCCTCCACCCTTATGAAAATTTCGTCCCCGAAATTTGCTTGGACCACTCTTCCATACTCCTCATTCTCATGCTTCCTTGGCTCAAGAATTCACTCTAGCTATATGAACTTCAATAGTGTTTGTTTCTTGTGTTGTATCGTTTGATATATTCCTTATATGTACCCTTGACCCTAACATCTATTCTCACCCCAGCTGGGTAACATCGAGTAGCTTTGACTGGCTACTTGTCCTTTTTAATCCCCCAACTTGCGTCCATGGTGTAATGGGACAAAATTTTGAATCAATTTATCGGTCCTGCTCATCCAGTACTTATCGTTGGACCTTAAATCGAAGTCGAGCTATCACATTTCCTCTCCCACTTAAGAAAAATTTCGACCTCGAAATTTGTCCATCGTGATGACTCAAATATCACCTGAGGTACTCCTTCTACCACATGGACTTATCCTTCCTGAACCTTCATAACCCTTTTATCGATGCTAGGCTCTAGCTTGTGATACCCATACCCAATTCAGTAGCTCCTCACCATTTCTCCTCGAAGGTTCTACTTGTTTTCTCTGTCATTTATCATAACCTCCCTCGAAATTTCTACTTCCTTATCTATCCTCGCTGACCTGTAAATTTTCTTGGGTATACTAATCCATAAGACACCTTGGTCTAACGATGCTCCTTGTGTCCCTTAGATTTTTTTGACCTCCCGTGACAACTGTAACTTGTAGTGTCTCTCAAATCCCTCCTCATGTCACGGCATTAGTTGGCGCCACCTCTAACCTTGCTTACTTAAACCTGGCAACCCTCACCAAGGGTGCCCCGCAACCTAAAATTTTTTTTATGACCATCAAGGAACGTATCAACCTTTGATAGGAATCCCTCGTATACCCTATCCTCTAGCTGGCACTGATTGGTTACATTGTGCGCTTTCTCCAACCTCATCCTTTTCATCGTTTATCTCGATGGTGACCTCCTTCTTTTCCAAGACTTTCCATCGATCTAGTTCCCTAGGTCCACAATTCCTCTTCTTAGGGACATAATGTATCCCTAAGGGATTCCCCAGTCAGTGTATGTAACCGAATGTGCCTCCTCCAAGCCTTGACTCACTAATCCCTTGACATCTTTTCATGCTCCCTATGACCTACTAAAATCATCCTAACTTTGTTTATGTGCCCCTAGTGTTACTTAAGTCTAACTTCCACTACTCCTTGGGTCGTAGCCCTACGCTTGATTCTCGCGAACTTAACGAACCTTTCTTGCATCCTTGACTCTAGATATTGGCCATCATTTGCCGTAATTCCTTGCCACGACTGACGATGTACTAGATACTAGGGATCTTTCTGAACCTTATCCTGATCAGCTCGCATCCCCGCAAGATATGAGCTGCCTTGGACCTCCTCTTCTCACTCATGAAAGAGTTTTCACTAAACGATCCTCTTAGGAAGCTGCTCTTTCTCCTTCTCGAGACGTATCATAGTCATGCGAGCCTAATTTAGCTATTTTCCTAATCACGATTAGAGTATACTGGAGATTCTAAAAATTATTAAAAGAAACCCTGACTCGTTTGGCCAAACATTTAACCTGACACCCTTTTTCCTTTCCTTTTAAAAACATAAACCTTGAAAAACTCAGATCGTCACTCCAGTATTCCTTGGAGACCAAGAAATAGAGGAGTGCCGGCTCTGATACCAAAATGAAACGTCCCGACTCTTTTTCAAAACCAAACCATAACTCGAACCGAAAACCGGTCACTCCGGAGCAACCCAAACCACATTTTAAAATAAGCAACTGACTTTATTTAATAATTTTAAACCAAAAAGCCCCAACACTTGGGCAAAATCTCAATCTCAAACACTTAAAACAACTTAACCCAGAATCTTGAACCTTGAATCTCCAGTACATATACTCATAACCATAAACAATATAATTAAACTAACTCTAGCTCTAACTCCTGGTTGAGTTCCTTGAGGTCTCGTCCATGTTGGTGCAGTGGCTCGCCTCACACTGCCTCTTCTCGGGATCCACCGTTGCTAACCCTTCCTCAACCTGGTGAGTGAGAAGGGGTCAGTCTCGTCGTTACTTCCTAAGGTCTTTGCCCTAGGCAAACTCCTTACTAAACACATTATTAGGGGAAATGCCTTCCTAGCATGAAAGCCGTTCTCGCTTTCTGCTCTTAAAATAATCATCCTTACTCAAACACGTTATTAGCTTTTCCTTCCTTTAGATGAAACCCGTTCTCGCTTTCATCCTTAATAACTCATTTCAACATTAACTCATAGAAGTTCTCAACTTCTATCCTTAACTCAAACACAAAACCCTAGGACCACCGCGTTACGTCTCGCCGTCCGGTGTCCTACCCTAGTATGCCAACCGCGTTACATCTCGCCGTCCGGTTGCATACCCATACTCGGCAATGGAACTGCGTTACGTCTCGCCGTCCAGTCCATGCCCGTCAACTACTGCGTTACGTCTCGCCGTCCAGTAGTGACCCGACCATCTACCGCGTCCAGTAGTGGCCCAACCGCCCGGGGGTTCCTCATACCATCAATCCATACAACATCACATACATCCATACATAGCACAACGCGTGCCTCCACCCTTATAGGCGGTGGGATGCCTCACACACATAATCGCGCTTATTTGAAAATTAAATAACAAATATAACTGAATTAAAAAGGCATAAACTAAAAGACCTACGACTGAGATATTACCCCCTTTACACTCACCGTGGCTTTCCAGCTGATTGACTTAAATCGAACTCTAGACTAATCGCTCGATGGTTAGACCATAGGTTTCCACCACTACTTGACATGTCCACGCTAGCTTTGCCTCTAATTAGAGCTCCCTTCTCGTCGACAATTCCTGGTGAATCAATTTAGAACACGCTTAGCTGCTGATGCATCAGCGTCATTCAAACTTCCCAACATCTATCTAATTGCAACACTTGGAATCTAAGCTAATGTGTCAAAGACATTCCAATTGCAATTAGTGGACACGTCCCTTCCATGCTTGAGAAATACGTGTAGCCATCTTACCCATCTAAATAGCCTTTATATATATATATATATGGACACATGTACATACAATTCACCACTCTCCACTCCTTTACGTTCATGCAGGATCTAATGCCATTAGAAATGACCATCAACTCCATTACTGAATTTGGAGAGCTAGGGAGACCCTTACCTTGTCGATCAATACTTCTTGCCACTCGACGTGGGTCCTCCCATCAAAAAGCCTTCGTGCCAGCCACACATAAACGCCTGAGCTATCCTTTAGTTCATGGTCGATCCTCATTCATGTCATCCTTTGCCTCAGCCGCCACGATCCCAACTCTCTTCCATTGTTATCATCGTTCCCCTGTCCAAGTCGCCAGCGCAACCCATAGCCAACTCCACCTGCTCTGTCATTTCACCATCATCGTCCTTGAGGATCGATTCAGCCCCAGTGCCATCACCACCACCGTCGCAACGCTGCTGTAGCTCCCAGCTTGTTCACCGTTATCGACCCACTGGTTGTTCTTGTGGTTGGGGCGGAGTATATGGTGGGAAGGAGAACAATCGCCGGTGGTTGTCGGGCCGGGAGGGGAAAGAGCTAGGTACCGTCGTTTGCCAAAAGCTCCGAGTGCTTTCTCTCATTGGCTGTGTCCGTTTGTTATGGTGGCGTAGCGATTGCGCGGGGGAAGGGATCAAATGGTTGCTTGATTTTCGTGTCTTGCCCCGGCGCTATGCCTATGAGGAGGAGGATGAGCCGAGTTCCTCCTTAATTCCTAACGTAAGGGCAAATACGTTTTCCCCACCTCATAATCACCCACCTAATTACGTTGAGTTAACTCCACTTAACTCCTTGGTCCGTTGTTTATTAACTCCTCTCGTCAAAATCCATTCATCATCCACGAGAGGAGAAAGGAATACGAATCACACCTTACTTCAATGGGCTACACCATTTCTTTTCCTTTATTCCACAACGTGGGCCACTCTATAAATCTTCCAAGTAATAAAAACATGATTTGGGCCTAAATGAGTAATTAGGCCTTAGTTTAACCGATTTGATTTTATTTGGAATTTTTCATACGTAACCGTCCACTCAACCGTTCATTTGCTATAGTCAAACCTGAACAAAAAGTTGGGGTGTTACATGCCGGCGATGGACCACTTGACAGCCTGGTCTCCCTTGGCTTTTAGTGTTTTGTCCTCATGCGCCCCTCATCTTGCTTGGGCCTAGAGATGCCTCACAAACCCATTCACGGGCCTTGCCCTCCAATTCTGTTGCTTGGAGGCCCAGACCACTACTTGATGGGTAGTACCCCCAACAGTTTCTGCTAAAAAAATAAAAAAAAAAAAACGATGCATTGTAAACAATACATGCATAATGACGATCTCAACAAAACAATCGCAACTTCCAAACGACCCCTTCATACCCATTTAATTGACTATGAACAAATGAGAGAGAGAGGAGGAGGAGGAGGCTTGATAGAGTGGGAATGATGATGGCGATCAGTTGTGGGGTTTGCTTAATATAGGGATGGGAGAGGGACAGGGAGAGAGAGAGGGGTTGATTGTTTGATGGGTCTATACTGTAGATAGGGAAGGAAGTGAATGGCAATGGCCAAAAAGTAACGACGAATAGAGGAAGGGGTGCCCGCAAAAAAAGGTAGCGGGCATGAGCTGTCACCGTTTTTTTTATGTACAATCAACGGCCAAACTTGTTTTGCCTAATGAGGTGTACTCAGGTTTATATAAAAACGCCCACATGTAATTATAAAATCCTTTAGTGAACAGTAAATTCTGATTTTTTCTTAAGGAACAGTAACCTCATTTTTATGGTAATTTTTAAGGACTTGTGTTTTAATAATTCTAATTAGAGATGGTATTGACTCAAAATGTCCACTTCATGTTGTCATCATAACCATCAATCCCATTAGCGATTTATGGATACATAGTTGAAATAAATCTTTATATATCGGGTAGAGGAAAAAATTGTGAAATCATATGTGCAGAGACATGTAAAAAGAAAATAGATTCAAATATGCGCTCTCTGTATCCTCTGTAATTTGAGGGCACTGTGAACTCGTAGCTTGGGATGCACGGGGTTAATACACCTCAAGCAACCGATCGGTTTCAATCATTTGAGTTGTTGATCAGAGAGATGTTCGTATGTAATTTGCTTTCATTCCTCTCAAACGACAACCAATATATGGACTTGAAGTTTGCACAGAATTATCGACTACCAGATCCAGTGGCGGAGGGAGGTGGAGGAGTGGGGTCCTAGGACCCCACTTCTTGGTAAATAATTGAACAACAAAATCCTTTAAAAATATGGGGTTTAGTATGATTCTTCACGTTTAGGACCCCATGATCTCGTTGATGTTAGTTCAACTAAGGACCCCATTCAAGTCAAAGTTCATTAGATACGCATGTTTTAGTATTAGTAAATTTTTAAGGCCCCAATAAACTGAGAGTCTAGCTACGCCACTGACCAGATCCGTTGGTCTGTAATATTCACCATATCCCACAAACACAAAACCTCAGCGTGGAATATAATCTCGGACTCAAATGTAGAAAATATTGGAAGATCTTTACAGAGTTCCTCAACAACATAGAGCTTGGAAGTTGGAAACCTCAAACCATATGATGTGCTCAAAATAATGGTTAATGTTAAAAATGTGAGAACTTAAAATAATTCTTCTTACGATTGTCCCTAGCTACATCACCACCCACATGCTAGATGTGGATACATGGACTACATAATTATTTCCCCTTTCATTTTCAATCCCAAACTTTCCCCACATAACCAAAAATGAAAAATCTCAATTAAAAAGCTTTGATTCTTTCAACACCCTTTGCAGCCTTTCATTTAAGATCATCTAGCAGAATCATATTTGAGGCTGAGATTTGGCTATCTCATTCTCACCACAGGACAAACGTAACCTCTCTTCAATAATTAATACAAAACAACATACAATAATCTGGGCTTAGCTTAGCTATCTCCTTTCACACCACTTGGTCTTGAACTTTCGCAGCATCCCTTTCTCTTAATAATAAATAAATCTATCTATCAAAAGCTTAATGCAGCTGTCGTGAGCTTAAATGTCTAGGTTTGATGGTAATGTTTCCACTGTCACGTTCTCCCCTTTCTTGTTTTGTCAATTTATTGTGCTTTGACATGTTATTCGATTCCACTAAGCCAATAGGAATCCAGTTGTGCATTTCCAAGCAATAGTTAGCAACCTTGGGGTCTTCCCTTTCAACCACAGACTCAATTCTAGCATATCAGTGTTCATTATTTGTTGACAAAGTCGTTGAATTGGAATGAAAAAGCATGTAATCAGTATGACATTCAGGTTAATTGGGTGTATAAAAGAGTAGAAATGATTTAAAAAAAATCATCCAGATCGAGTTTTTTTTATAATGGTGATATATGTTTGTTTATATTGTTAAGTGTTATTTGAGTAATTTGAAACTGGAACATCTAGGTCGGATAGTGCCACCAGAGAGCAAGTCAAACACTTGTTCACGACTCCATCTGATTTGAAATGGGGACAATTATTTGGGGTTGTGGGCAGCAAGAGACAGTACGATATGTGTGCCTGTTATATTGTAACTTCCTCCCCTGTATATAGCATTTCAATTCGTATTCAACAAGTTGCATTTAAATTATGTATAAGGTTTGATAGTACTCAATAATGTTTTCCAGCTTGAAAGCAGGTCTCATTAAGAGTGGTTATTATCATGCTTCATCGTTATTCACACACGAAAAATACCTATAATGGTGTCGTGATCTGAGTGGGCGAAACTTAAAAGGTTTTTAAGTCAACCACCCATATAGTAGATGATTCACATGATCAGTGCATGCAACTAATTCCTCTCTATTTTGTGATGCATTGTGTTCGAGTAGTTTGCATGACTCTCTTATATGCTATTAGAATGAAGTATTCCTTCGATTTTAAGATTAGTATAATATAGTAGACGTGATGAATGAGCCCATCAAAGAAGAAAGAAGAATGACATTATTATGTTAATCATCACAGAATTATATGTAGCTTAGTCTACCATTCCACCAATTTGTTGCTGGTCACACATCCAATAGACAAAAAATCTGGGGCAGGGCAAGTACAATTATTATACCCCCATCTCACAAGTCACTATAAACCCTACCAAATGCCTCAAAAATTGACCCAAGAAACAAACCCTGCGGAGGAGGGAATAAACAAAAATATCTCGATCGCTTGTGGAATTTACCATTATAGTCACCCTTCCTCTTTCCTTTCCCTTCTCTTCTCTACCACAACTTAAAGGGTATCTTTTTTTTTTCCGAAAAGATAGCTTGCATTAAACAAGAACACAAAGTTACAAGGCCTGTGACCTAAGCCACCCACAAAAATTAAACCCATTACAACCCGCAGGAAACAAAGACAGGGTCTTCTTAGCCACCATATGGGCTACCCTATTGTTCTGTCTACCCACAAATTTCACCCTAAATCCTGGGGACATCAAAAGAAGCTGGCGAATTTCCTCAAACAGAGCACCACCAGTAGCAGCACGAACATCCCCAGCGTTAACCTTGTCGATCACAATCTTGGCATCCCCCTCAAAAGTAACAGCCTCTAAGCCACGATGCTGACACCACCGCGTCGCATCCCGCAACGTTAACAGTTCCACAAGCATCGGATCTTGCAGACCGGTAAACATCAGCCCTTGTGCCGCAAACACCGCTCCCCCTGCCTCTCTTAAGACCACCCCACCTGCCGCATGGGACCCGTCACGAACTGCCCCATCAAAGGAACATACCACACCGTCCACAGAACCAGCAGCCACCGTAGGCTCACCCACACCATTCCCATCCCCCTGGGGCAGTTGCTCCCATTCCGACACTTGATGTAGAAACTCCTGTCGGAGAATACTCGGGAGAATCTGCTGTCCCTCAAAGTCCACAGAGCTCCCCCCCCCCCTTCCATATCCTCCACAATAAACACATCAAACGCACAACACGCATAGTTGACCAGTCTCTCTCCAAAAATCGCCTAAAAAATATGTTAAAACTTCCCACCGGCAAAACCTCTAGCTCAGCAGCCAACCCTGCGGCTTCCCACAATCCTCGCGCCACCGGACACTGCAGAAAGAGATGTTCGGTGGACTCCTCCGGCGCCCAGCACACTGGACACCTCTCAAGGACCTCCACCTCTTTCTCACGCAATGCCTCCATCGTTGGTAGGATCCGCCGCAAAAGCTCCCACGCAAAAAACTTGAGCTTCGGCTGCACTGGCATACCCCAAACCTTAATCCAAAGCGTTCGATCCAGTGTGCTACATTCCGCTTTACCTCCCCACCCACGACGGGACTTACACTCCGCTAACCTGTACCCGGACTTAACCGTATAAACCCCCGAAGGGTCCTCCCTCCAAACCAATCTGTCC